AGAAGAAGAAGAAGAAGAAGAAGGGGTCATGGGTTGGGGGGGGGGGGGGGGGGGCCGGGGAAGAAACAAAATGAATCATCGCCATCATTCAGCAATTCGGCATTTTAAAAATGTCAAAGTTTCGACCCCCCCCCAAACCCCCCCCCCACAAAAAAACCCCAAACAAACACAACCCCCCCAAAAACCCCCAAAAAACCCCAAAAACAAACAAAACAAAAACAAAAACAATAACAACCTGAAAATCAAGTTTTATGTTGTAGACTTTGATGAGGCGCATCGATTCGTCGTAGTCTCATTTCTTTTCTTAAGGTAGTTAATACCGGTTTTAGACGCATTGCACATTTAGTATTAAGACAACCTTCTAAGCAAAATATAGATCTAATTCGTTTTTTTTAAAATCTTATTTTTTGTGTGCTTCTCTTGACATTTTGAGACAATGATGAACGACGGCGAAGAAACGCTGCCCAAACCTCCGCCTCTGCTTGCTGCAGATCCACGCCAATACCAACAGTAAGACCAGCACAGGGGCAGGGGCAGAGCAACAGCGCTCCCTCCGAGACTCGTCGGGCAGTAGCAGCTAGCGCGGTCGTAAGCTTTAGCATTGTTCCAGGATTTGAGGTCGGAGGTTTTGACCTTGACCCATGGTCAATGGGCGCAGGAGCTGGCTCTGGCTCTGGGTTTGGGGACATTGGTGTGTCTATGGCCGTTACTGTCCCAGGCGCGAATGCAAACAAAGACGATGGTAGTGGTTTTGTTGTTGATGATGTTGTTGGTGGTACGGGATTCGAAATCTCAGAGGCTGGTATGGGATGTGATATCTCAGTAGCTGATATGGGATGTGATATCTCAGTGGCTGGTATGGGATGTGATATCTCAGTGGCTGGTATGGGATGTGATATCTCAGTAGCTGGTATGGGATGTGATATCTCAGTAGCTGGTATGGGATGTGATATCTCAGTGGCTGGTATGGGATTCGAAATCCCAGTTGCTGGTATGGGATTCGGCTTGTCTGTGGCTGAATAGAATACAGCTGTACTTTTTATCACGGATGCGAATTCCAAGGAAGGTGTTAGTTGTCGGTATTTCAAAGAATCGTCTTCAGAACTGTATCTGTATGGAGAAGATGGTTCTACTACAGAACCTGTTGGCCCCCACACACCTGTTGGTTCTGTCTCGGGGCTATAAGTGTCGTAAGAAATAGATCCACCCTGAGGAACGGGGGGCGATGCTGCGGGGTGCGGGAAATACGACCAGTCGAAGAACGTCTCCGTCGAGGGGTAAGGCGAGTCTGTTGCATTCGGGTGTCGGAAGGCGAAATTGGGCTCAAGAAATGATGACGTGAAGTCAGTCCAGAATGAAGGCAGCTCAGAGCCGCCCGAGGTAGAGAGAATTGAGGAGAAAAACTCAAATACTGGAATGTCAGATAGAATCAGGCCCGACGCCAATGTCTTAGGAAGTTCTGGGGAGGGCGAGGGGGTGAAAAGAAGAACGTTCAGTACATCATCATCATCATCATCATCATCATCATCATCATCATCATCATCATCATCATTGTATTATTGTTATTGTTATTATTATTAGCAGTCATGGTACAAAATTAAGCGTTCAAAATGTGGCCAACTCTCCTCGGCAAGGATTTGTCTTACTGGCCATGGCAGAAGCCACAAATCCTTATTTCCTCAGTTCCTTGCTAAGTCATCTGGTCGCTTTTAAGGACAAGCGGGCTAACCCAGATTCCGGGGGTTTCCAGAAATCTGGACCTGCACCAAAAGTGGACATTGCCCTACCTGTAGCAGAAGTTTGGTTTTACTGGAGTGTATATTTGTTTCGATATAGATAAAACTTTCCGTGTCTTTTAAAGTAACAGAACAAGGGACAAAAACTTTACCTTCGATTTGATCAAAACTGCATTTTTCGGGATAGCCCCCTTGTGTTTAAAAGCGACCATATATTCTCCTCTGCAGATACATTGGACCGGTGTTTGTGGTGAAACGGTTATATGTGCCTCCCTGTCGCAAGCGGAGACCGAAATTCGATTCCCGAGTGAGGAGAAATTTTTTAATCGATTATCTCGGTACCTCTTCTTGGATGTTGTATTCCTCTCAGCCCGGGTAGGTTCTGACAATCAGGGTCGGAAGCCCGCCTCCGAAATGACCTATATTGAGTCAAAGGGGGGCATAAAACTACTTTTATTTTTAAAAAATGATACATAAGTCATCGTCAGATATTAAAGGGGAACAT